TGTTTCGGAATGTTCTATGGTCTGCTGGGGTAATAATATAGTGTAAAGCGCATAGAGCCTGCTGTTGAGCGGGGATATGCGCTATACAAATGCTATCTATTATTATTATATTAGGACTTCAGGTCAAATTTAAAACTTCCTTTTGATTCATCTGTGCAGGGGACAGTTTCCAAGTGCAAGACTGTGAAGGTGTGCCCGTCTGCAACCCCGAGGGTGAGTAGTTGTTGCTCTTGTTGTTTCCTTAACTCCCTTCACACCAGTCCCGATTTCGCTCCTACAAGAATTCCATCACATCTTCCTCTTCGTGCTTCTTTCTCCTCCTCCTCTTTCTTCCTCTACCTCCACTTCTTTTTCTCTCTCTTCTTCTTCTTCTTCTTCTTTTCTTCTTCTTCTTCTTCTTGAATCTTCCTCTTCTTGAATCTTCTTCTTCTTCTTCTTCTCGTAATATTGGTGTTACATAATAACATATAGTGGTGCGTGTGTGTGTGTGTGTGTGTGGTCTTTATGCTCCGCGAATACATGTTGGACTTTACTCAAAAACCTTAGATTTGGCATTTTCCACTTTTTGAAGATACAACATCATCGATGCATGTTCTGTTGTTATTTGTGACTTTTGTCTACTTTTATACTCAAAACAGAAATGAGTGAGGAGGTCGAGGGTGCGTCTGGAGGGGGCGACACCGACGACGAGGTGAGTTTTACTGCTTTTGAGATGTATTATGTATGCAGTATAAGTATAATGCAGATTATGACATTTCGCAAAGAACCGATTCGCTACATAATTTTCTGATCTATTGGGCGTAATTTCTTCCGCCTATTATTAATATTTCATTTAGTTCATAGGGCAGGCCTACGTTTACTTTTGTCTACTGATTTACCTATTTGTTTAGCAAGGTTTAGAGCAAGGTTTAGCATTGATATGCAATATTATTATAGATCACTAGACTCTACATGTATTTCTAAAGAAAGGAAACTGAAATGAGAGTTAGAAAACAAAAGTCGAAATTGCTTAAGACGACCAACCATTGCAGAAGAGAAAAGTGGTGGTCGAAGTCTTGTTTTTTTTGTTTTTTTTTTGTAAAGTGTTTTACGGCGCTCGCAACTGCATAGGTCATATGAGCGCGCGGGACACTCCTAATATTTTCAGTTGGTAGGAAATTTTGAATTTCGCCCGGGTGGCGGCCGAAGCCTACTCTTATCGATTTTAGACCACCAAGGGGTCTTGAACGTGCGCAACTTGCACACGGGCCCTTCCGAGATTTTTCGCCCTTGTCCGAGAAAGCTAGGTGTAGATCTTTCCTACCAGAAGATCAGGGGTGTGGCAGAAAGACAGCAGTAAGGACGAGCCAAAGAGTAGCAGTAGAAAGGCTGCAGAAAGAGTCAGGAGCCCAGAGGAGGGGGCAAAGGAAGTGAGGGGGTGGGGGCAGAAAGTGGAAATGAAAGCAGACAACAGAACATTGCTAGAGAGCAGGAAAGGAGGTGAAAGGAGACAATTTTAGAGAAGAAAATTTTTCGCTCGCTACCCGGATACGAACCCGGGACCTCTGAATGATAGACCAACACCTTAACCTCTAGGCCACGAGAGCCCCCTGGTCGAAGTCTAAGGTGTACGTCTTACCCGGTGTCATTATACCTTAATACTAAAAAAAAATGTAAGGAAAGAAATATGAAGTCTCTGTACAGGTGATTGTCTTTTTTAGATGGCCGTTAAATTAAACTGTAGTCAGCCAAGTCCACACTTTGATGTTGTCAGTCCACATTGTGCGTTATCCACTCTTGTGCCCCACAAAGATGTACATGTAGCAGTTGTAGCAAACCGCTCTAGTGGTCCCCTTGAACGATCAGCTAATGAAGAGCACAATTTCGTCTATTGTTTTGTCAAGAATCAGGAACCATCAGCCACGTGGCTCTATCATCTCCCCCCCCCCCCCCCCCCCCGCCCCAGACACACACACACACAGAGGCAAACACGGCCACAGAAATGTTATTACGCACACAAAAATGAAAAGTGGAATATAATAATCAATAACCAACTGATCCTAATCCATCCTTACTTTGACTATATTTTTTCACACCTATTTTTCATGTGTTTTGTGCCCCCATGGACACAATGTAGATCTTGACCATTTATTAAGAGTCAGGCTTCGAGCCTACCTGTCACTGTCAGGACCAACCCAGGCTCAAGTGATTACAAAGTCCCAGCAAAAAGGACGAGATAATAGATAAGAATTCTCCCAACACGAGAAATCAACACTGGTTTTCTGCAAGTGATGATGAAGCGCTTAACAACTAGACTACACCACAGGTGCTGGTTTGGCCGATTGACAAATCACCAGAAAATCGATTCAATTCATTGACTGACAGTCAGTGACAGCACAGTCAAAAAATCAATCTTATTGAATATGTGATAAATCTAGGCACAGTACAGTAAATAAAAATATTGTTTTATGAATCAAGAGACAAAAAAAAAGCAACGAACAAATAAAAAAGCACATCAGAAGATAACATAACAACAATTTTATCAATAAATTTTAAAAAATAATCAAATCGATCTATAAGTTTCAGTTAAGCTTCATAAGAAAATGTGTCTTGTGTATTATGTGCGTATTGTATAGACGTATCAAGCATAGTCAAATTGTTGAAAACGCTCACCATTGTTGGGGAGAAAAGTGGTGGACGTCTTACACTGTGTCTTTATAATCTGTCCCCGTCCTTTTAAGCAAGAAAAATTCTGAAATTATGCAAACTGAGCCCAAAAATGTGAAATTATGCGATTCTGTTAATTTTAACAAAGAATGATAAAGGAAAATAATCAGAAATTATGCAAAAATGATCAAATTCTGCAAAATTATGCGGGGTGCATAAAACCACGGGGACTATAATGTTTTAAAAAATGCGCATGTAAAGAAATGTAAAGTGGCCGTTTATATAGAGGTGATTGTCTTCTTATACTGGTGGTCATAAGAGTAGGTTCGGAATGGAAGAAATGTGAAGTTACCATCTGTATAGGTGATTGTCGTATACTGGCGGTCGTTAGAGCAGGTTCGACTTATTAAATCTTATATCTTTTAAAAAGTTCTCTATGCACCAGGAGACTGAGGCGGAGACGAGCAGCAACAGCAGCAGCACAAAGAACAGCAGTAGTGGAGAGACAGAGACCACGAGCAAGAGTATGGAGGACACACGTCAAGCTGCAGAACAAGTGACACAGGAGTACAGCGCTGTCACTAGCGAGTATAGTGAGACAGAGAGAGATGAAGTGGACAACACCACCACAACCGTGGTCAATCCATGATGAGCGATCAAAGCTGATAAATGTAAAGTACTCAATTAGGCCCTACTCTATTTGATGAAGCACAGCCCAGCGCAAAAGTTTTGTCATTCTTTTTGGGGAAATAATTTTCAGAGTAGCAATGAGGGAAAGTCATATTATGATACATTGTAATAATATAAGCTTAATTACCCCCCCCCCGCACCCCCCCCTGGATCAGCTGTTGTTGGAGTAAATAAGTAGTCAGATAAGCTTAATTCCCCCCCCCCCCCCCCCTCCCCCTGAAAAAAATCAGAGCTAAGCTGATGAATAATGATGAAATAATAATATACCCCCCCTCCCCCCCGAAAAAACATAGCTGTGCCGAGCAATGTTTATTAAATAAATAATCATGACTTTGGGTAGTATTTTTTTCTTAAATTAAGTTAAAATAAATGCACCAGTTGCAACTTACTTGTAAAAATGTATCTTATATGTATGTGTACTTATATTCTGTAAAATTTCCTTTAATATGACAAGTGCGATAATGTACATTTTGAACGACGTGCATGGATCCTTCATTCATAATAATATTATTCTTACTTCTTTAGAATCTCTCAGTTTTCCAACATGCTTATGTCATTAGTAATAGTACTAATACTAATAGACAGCATAAGTATTGACAATTGACATGTCTTCATTCTATAACCTGTTTTTCTATATTTTTGCAAGTCCAGCAGTTTTACTCTGGTCATTTCTTCAATGTGACAACATCACATCGTATACAAATTTCATATTCCGTTTCCATGTTTTATGATATGCAGATGTCACATGCTTGAATGTCATATGCTTATATTCTTTATTCTGAACATACTGTACAAATACACATATGGTTCTTGTATCAGCCATTCACATGATTTAGCCTATACTTTAAGTCTGTAATAGTTTCATAAATCTACAATATAGACAACCTCCCTCATTCTGTGTTGAATCATATTCGCATGTGTACACATCTTTGGGTTTTTTAAAGTTCATGCTGTTCCCCTGAATTTTTTTCTCAAAAATGTTTCAGTTTATTGCCCGACATGACTGAACAGATGTTTCGGACATGATTTCTATCAGGAGTAACGAAAACCAGCGTAAAATAATAGTAGACCTGCATGTGAGCCTCAACCAGATTGTCTGAAAATTTTGCGCAACCCCCCCCCCCCAATTAATTAATTGTTATTTGTGAAAAAAGGGGAAAAAACGTTTAAAAAACCGCGGAGAATTTAAAATTATGCAAATGTTGCAGAATTACGCGAAAAAACCACAGCCGCGTCGCTGCCGCACAATCGCATAATCCTACGGGGACAGATAGACGTGCCAATTTCTGAGAGTTTATTTGACCATGGTACACGAAAACAATGAAATCTGTCCTTTACTAAATTTGTTTTTTCTTTTTGTGTGTGTGTG